GGTGTTGTCGAAAGCACAGAAAATATTTACAGGTGAGATTTAATAAAATTGTCCGATAATTTTTGTATGTATGGCTTTAAACATATTCGCGCTTAACTTTACAGATATCACATGCAAATGTGTGGCTCGCCACACCAAGCTGGACGTTCGCCACCCACGCCCATGGTACAAACGCCTGTCATCTCTGCTGCCAATGCAGTGCCCCCTGTTTTTCCCGATCCAACATCACAAGTGCAAACATCACCAGTACAAGAACAACAACAACAACAGCAGCAGCAGCAAACGCAACAGCCAAATGCGAATAATGTCGATGAAGGCTGTAATAGTCATGCGCGCAATACAAGCCAGAGTAGTGGTCAATCTTCGGTGCCTGAACTGGTACCAGTCAATGTGAATGCGATTGCGAATACAAATACAATAAATAATGGAAAGTAATTCAATAGTAATTAGATATGTATATTGTGAATTACAAGTACTTTAATGTAATGCAATGATAGCAAGCCTTGTTTTCAGCTAAGGAAACGGCGTATTATTTTAAAATATCTTGGAGCTTGAATATGCGTCAGGTTCACTTCAAGTTTAAAAGTTTATTAACGTCGCAAGCTTCTCTTAGTTATTACATAGAGATAGAAGGAGTAGAACATAATAGAAAGCATTTTTGTATTTTTGGCAAAATTGTGCAGTAGTAAGAAAAATACACAAAACAAATGCATTGAAGAGCAACGAACTTCCGGAAATGATCAACATAAAACTAAACCCACAAATAAACAAATGTTAAAAAGTAATAATGTGCAATTATTTAAGATCATTTTTGTGTTAACCAAAGTTCGGTAGCCTGATTGTAGCGCGTATGTTAATTGACAGGTTACATAATCAGTAGATCGCGGAATTCCCGAATGTATTATTTATCAATATTTTTATGTCTGAACATATGTATGTACATTTTATTTATAGATACATACATTTTATCACTTGTATTAATTTACGTGTACCATACTTTAATTTCATTATGCAATTTAATTTACAAAAACACAAAAAACAAACAAGCCAGCCAGCAGCTGCAGTTCTATTGACCACTGAATAAAGAAATGCGTCTCAAGCAACTGGTGCACAATTTTTTCTCTAACGAAAACTACATAAAATCATTCCTTTAATTTTTATTAAAAAAAATATCTATGAAAATATTAAGCGGTTTCTCATAACTAAAAATGCTGCATATAGTTGAATATGCCCTCTTTCGATGAAAAGTTTTAGCTAAGCTATCTCAATTTCTAAGCTGTTGTACATGTGATTCCACGAATTTCTTTTCTATTCATTTAAATCAAATTGTGTTTTGTGCTCTATATCAGTATATTATTTTTCTCTATACAAACCACATTTTAATTAACTAATTTTGAAATTTCACTCTTGCTTTTCTGCTACCTTTTATATTATACTTAATATTCCACATTCAACAGAAACAATTTCAACTATTGTACTCTATTATAGTAAATCATTATTAATGAATATTTAATGCAAATTTAATATACTATTTAAAAATAGTAACCAATATAAAAATGATAAAAGAAATAAAGCGAATTATTTCGGCTGAGTGTGCACAATTTGCAAATTTTATTGAAGTGGAAGTGGTAAGTGGGAATCAGGAACTGTTGAATTTTTAGCATTTCTTGAGTTATACTAAGAAAGTTTTTGGAATATGTTTGCTTATTTGTACAACAATTTTGGGGTGGGGGCCGAGGGGAGTGCGTGGCCCCAACCCCCCATAACGAAAGAGGATGGACGCCGCTTTATGGAAAGACAAATAGGGAGGACAACTTATGAAAATTCAGTGGTAATCACCTAAGTTTTAGATAAATCCAAAATCTATGTGAGCAACTACCGATTTAACGTTATTAAGAAGAGATTGGGATGTTGAAGAATGTAAGGAGGACCAAAATTTATATCCGGCGAAAGACTGTCAGCACTACGTGCATAGTTCCATCAAGTAGAAATTATTTCAGGACGGTTACCATTATAAATAAATATTTGAAATTAATTAATACAAAATGTGTAGTTAAGTCAACTTTTGCAAGGAACTCCTCTAATCAAATGGATCGCCATTTATTGCACACTTACCTGAGACTCCGCCGTCGACAGCAACATACGCGGTTTATGTACGAGTATTAATTATTACTTTTAATCACTTTTCTTGAAAAAAAAACACTAACCACTACTTTATCACTCTAATAATTTAATTTATTCAAGCACTTCCACTACTTACTACACCATTTTATCACATTTAAAAAAACTACTATCGATTTGCACTGATTTCAAGCAAACGGTACTTTTATGTGCTGATGATGGTGGTATTGCCAGATGATATGCATTTTTAGAATAAGTATGTTCGAATAAATAACCAGTGAAAAATATCCAGCAGCAATTTGCAGAACACAAAATTAGCAAAAAAAGATGCAAGTTTTAGGTACAACCGATCGAATTTTTTTACATAAAAAAGCATAAATCATGAAAATAATATAATAGAATAGCCTAATTCATAAAAACCAAAGAACGTAAATCTATAAGAAGAGACAACACGTTATAATTGTAGCGAGTGTGAACATCAGGAGCGTGCCTTCTCTTTTCATCCAGTCTAAAAACGTATTTGAGCAAAAGAGAAGTCACGCTCCTGATGTTCACACTTGCTACAATTATAAGGTGTTGTCTCTTCTTATAGATTTATGTTCTTTGTAAAAACTAAAGGAGCTTTAAAAAGGTTTAAGGCGGATTCATTATTCTAGTTCTGAACTTTTGCTGCCATGTGGTTGTTGTTATATTTCTCTCACGTAGAAAAAAGTTCTGAACTTAAACGATGAATCTGCCTTTATAAATTGAAAATTGTATGAAAACGTAAATTTTTGAAGCTTTTTATACCTATTTTATTTATTATGATTAAAGACGTAAGTAAATGAGTATTTGCTTTCTTCTTTCCAAACATTTGCAGCTCTAATCAGTTTTTTTAAACTTAAAAATTATCAAAAAAAATCATAATTTTCATAACTTGCAAACGGATGACTTTCATTGGCTGTTATTTTGTTGGCAAATTGCTGCTGTTAAAACTTCTTCTCAAAATCTACTGTCAATTTCCCCTAATTTGCAATTTTTTGCTTACGCGAACGGCAAATCCTGTTAATTTGTGATAGTTATCGGGTTATCGAACAGGCCTTTTTTGGGTTTATGGTTTTACCGGACGAACCGGAAGCACAAAGCGGAACTCGGAAATAATTAGGAAGTTGCATTTGCTTCTTGGGTTCCTGTTTCATAAAGTTGCCACATCGAAAAATCGTACGCTTGTCAAACAAACTTACTTATGGTTTGATTATGCATACTTCGCATAACTTCGCACAACTTCCCATAAGAATCAAACTGTAATTTCGGATGTACTTTTTAAGTATTTTGTATGTATTCCATTATCCAGATATCAGCAGAACTTTTAAAAACATAGCTATCTGTTGAGTTTAGATTTTGCTTCACATTTTCTTAAGTTAAATTTTTATTGCACTGGTACAAATGGTTGTGCGAAGTTTTGTGAAGTATGCATAATCAGACCTTTAGGGTTTACAAGGGACTATACTGTCATGACCATAATGTCAAAATGATGTGTTTGTTGTAATATGAATTCGCCTTGTTTACAACAAACACATAATTTTGACATTATTGTCCGGTGTATACCCTCAGTTAAACGAAATTATGAAAAGTACACTTTTGGCAACTTTTTAAATATTAGCAACGTCTGTTGTTTGAGCTCATTTGCTGCTTTGCAAGATTGACAGGCCAATTGATCAATTTGGTGAATACTGCTAACGTTTTGTGCTTTTAATTAAGCTGTTTTTTTATATAAGATCTTGTACAAATACCTGATAGTACTTACTTCAAATGGTGAATATCGGTGCAAAACGCTTATTTACAAAAACAAAACTGAAGGGTCAATCCCTATGGTGATAAAATAAAAAATATTAAAGGTGTGCATGTAATGAACAATTTTTAGAATTTTCTTAATTGTCATTTTAGTCAACAAGTATGTAATTAACTTGATCTTTGCATTAAAAAATGGCAGAACAAAGAACTCAGCAATGAGTTACGCAGATATTGTCATTATCAACACAAAAGGTTTTTTCATAAATTCTTTTTCATAAATATTCCGTTTATTGGCCCCCACATATCTATGTATACACATGGATGAGACCTAATAGCATATTTAAAACAGTTCTGTAAGCATTTCCTATACAAATTTAAACAACACTTTTGCTTCTTTTGTAAAATTTTTAATTTATCAAATAGAGCTTTTTACATATGAGGAATGAGGAATAGAGGAGCCTATTTACAAAGAAAATTTAATAATATGAGAAAGAATGATCTATAAAAATTAAATGCGGTAGTTTACTAAAAAGTTGCCTTGGGCTATGACTGTTTCGATTCTAGTAATGCATTTTAAGGTGCACCTCAACTTTTTTTGAAATGTCAGTTAGGGTACTCTGGCCCTCAAGGCCTCATATATTTATTGAAGGTGACGATAAAAGCACACAAAATATATTTGGCGCTCATATTTGTACTAATGGCCGGTTGTTCATTGTCTGGTTATCACCAGTTCATCATTATCGACTATTTCGACATCATACATATAACATGTGATCGTTAAAGCAGTAGTTGTATTCAACCGTAGCTCCTACCTCTAATTTGTGCTAATCAGACATCGAACAACCGGCCCTAAGTGTTTTTTCAAGCTTCCTCCTTAATGTTGTCACAGAAATTTGGAGGCCCACAGCAAGGCAGATGGTTGAGAAGCCTTTTCATGACAGAAGCACACTCGAAAGCTGGCCTTTCTTTAACCCGAGAGTAGTCAGGCCCTTCCGTGAAGCGTGTGTCATCACGTGGGAGCATTTAACGTCCATATTTAAAAATGATGTTTTTTTTTGTAATTAATTGTCAAGTCTGTTAGTTTTTTAAGAAACAGATAATGCATGTGCTAGTCGAAAAAGTAACATCTATTAAAATTTTAAAGCTCGGT